TGTTCATTCATTTCGGTGGAAAATTTTACTATATATTACCAGGAAGACAAATTCGTCATCGGTTTGCTTGTAAGTAACTCTCGAAAGAGTGAGCCATCGACAGTCCTGGTCCATCGGATGGTTGTTGTTGGCACGTGCTACCATTCGGACTATTTCCGAATGCCTCCGCCCCTTACACAAGTTTTTTAATAAATTAAAAGTGCCAGAATCAAGCTCTGAAATGCATCAGATTTGCAAAATCTACACTAGTATCCAGGTGAAGTGTGGAGTTTGTTAAAAAAAGCTCTGGAAAAGCAAATGTATAAGCAATGGTGTAATCGAATTTTGAATAAACGATGCGTACAATATAAATAAAAACCAACAAATTCACGCCTGAGCAAACGATCCTGCGCTCTTGTTTCACGCTTGGTCTGTCCCAAAGACTAATCCAAAATAAAAATGCTTTCTGGTGAACGAAAAAAATTTTCTTGTTTTTTTTTTAGAAAATCGGTGATACTTTGCATTTTCACTCTATGCATTTTATATCTCCAATTCAGGAACTGATTTTGAAGCGGCAGTGGCCTAGTCGAAGTCGAGACACCGTGAAGTACGAGTCTTGGCAACTCCAAGTATTTCTAGAAAACATTGCTTCGTGTTTTGTACGACTGATTTTGGGTGGTAAAGGCCAATGTCATTCACTTACTCACTCGCTTTCTCTCTCTTTGGAATTCTTGGTATCTTATATCTAGCAAACATTTAGAACTCATACATCTTGATTTATTTATCACAGTGCTAACAGTAGCAGTATTTCGCCAGCATTTTCCCGGCAAACGTGACACCCTTATAACCCGAAATCATCACTCACGTACATCTGGATCTCACGTACGGGGGCCAGAAAAAACATGCAAATTTTTTGGCGGGAAAACGACTACGAAAACTACACAAGCTAGGAAAGAGAAACTTTTTTTCACGCTGATGCCCCCTCTTCAAGCATGAGCTAAAGATTTTAAATTTAATTGTCACGCACGCACGACCACGACGAAGTTCGCGCAGTGATAAAAAACGCCAAGAAGGGCATTAGTGCCGTAAAGGAATTCACTTGAATGGCTCATGAGGAATTACATGGATGATGAAAAACCAAAACAGAGGAAAATGGAAAAATTGCCAACTGCAAACATTGGTGAGAAGAGATATGACGATGAAAAAAAAACTGATCAAAATACAGATAAAGTCGAAATAATCCAAATTTTAATCAGTCTTAGTGCAAAAAGAAACTGTCAGAAACCGTTAGAAAATGATTTTATCGAAAAATTTCTGCTCAAGCAGCGGGTTTCCTAGACAGCTTAATGGAAAGGTATCCATCATCGTCACATTGACTTAATACGCAAAATTAATTTTCCTAATGAGAATAACAACCCCTAAAATTTAATTATGCCATATAAAAGCAGAAATGATGAAAATGGGGATAATCTGATTTCCGAGAAGACGACATTTTCCAGTCTGATATTGTGAATCTTTATGATACACTTATGATGCATTATGAATTTTCCCCAATAAGAGGCACCACGGCTTTAAGGAAAAATGCGAAAATGCGGAATAAGGCTTCGACTGCAAAAAAACATATAGAAAAATAAAATTTCCTATGTGATAATGAAGCATGTTATATCCGATACGTAAATCCGATATTACTAGTGCTACTGAGACGTCGGGGAATAGGAAAAAAACTTGGGGCGGGGAAGGGGAACTAGGCTGAGTAGATCCTCCTAG